TTGATTTGTGCATCTTATATACATAATTGTACTTTTAAATTTGTTTATTTTTAATTTCAGACTAAAAAATAATAATTTTTAATAAGTATGTTGTGTAGTATATTAAACTAGAATATATACTAATAAATATTCTAGAAGATAATTAAATTTTTTGGGTACATCAAAAAAGTTAAGTACTTGGCATTATGGGTGTTTAAACCCCTAGCTTTGATTCTAAATCATAATTCTTTAGGTGGTAGATACCAACTCACCACCAATTAGCTATCAAAAAATAGATTAAATAATGGAGTCAATGACTTAATAAATAGTTTATTAGTAATCTCTTTCCATTAAAAAGTAAGATGTGTTAAATTTGAATGACATAACATGTAAGATAGGTTGAAAGAAGAGAGATGATTGTCTTTCATTATGCAATCAAAAATAATAATAATAATAATCTTAAATACCTTCCAACCCAACTAAAGATTTGGACTTAAGCTATATTGTATATTAAGTCATCATAAAATATATCAAAAATGCAAATTAACTTAATAACTTAATTGTGCAGCCGTAATTTGTTGATATTGATCCCATAAAGAAATTTAGGGATTATTTAAAAGTGATGGGATGAGAAATATAGAAGTTATTTCTTAATTAAAACCTCATTGTGGTCTCTTTATTTTTTTAGTCCTTAAAATTTATTATCTAACTTCTTTTTAGTTCTTGCATTATATTTTTGTACATGTGACATGTTAAATGACAAAAATTCCAAAGTAAAAAGAATAAAAATGTTCAAAATTAAAAGTTTATGAACTAAATTTGACATTTAACCAAAGAGAAAATATATAGTGATTTGAAAATAATATTTTACCTCCATTTAGCTTAGTTATTTTAATTTCACTTTTTAATTTTATAGATATTAATTTCATATGAAATTTTAATATGATATATCAATGACAATTGAAAATTTTTTTATCTAATGAAACTACTCAACAAGAACTATATATGAAAAAAATAAAATTTTCAAATGTCATTTATATACTGTGTTAAAATTTTTATCTAAAATTAATGTCTAAACAATTAAAAAGTCAAAATAGGACAAGATAAGTTTAATGGAAGGAGTATATATCTACAATTAAGCCAACGTTTTAATAGTTTATTAATAATCTTCTTTTAGCAAAAGTGAACTTTTGAATTTAGATGGTATCTGGTAAAGTAGATTAAGAAATAAGGGAAGTTTGAATCATGCAACTTAAGGGAAAAAAAAGATATATCTACAATAAAAAATGACATAATTATATCCTAATTTAATGCCTTAAATCATCTACTCACAGTCTCACACCGTTCAACTAGTTTTCCTACTTTCTAGTTTTTGACATTCAAAGTTATATATTAGTAGTTGTCTATTTTCTATTTTAAGACGTCATTTAACATATTTATTTTTATTTTTTAAAATAATAATTATAACATTTATTACAATAAATACATTTATTTAAATAGTAGTAAATTAGAAATAAATATGAAATTCTAAATGGCATATACTTTACATTTAAAATATGATTACGTGGGAGTGGGACTTTGTTTCAAAGCTATATAGTTTTCCCTTTCTTTAGGTAATCTATATTTTTTTAATTTCTTTGTTTTATACTATATAAACCCATCTACATGAAGTCCCCATCTTTAAATTCATAGAATTTTATTTATATACTTTCTTGGCAAAATTCCATTTTTCAGGAAGCATATTGTTAGCAAATAGCAGCTAAGTTTTCCCTTTTGTGGATATTACTCTGTCCACTAAGATTTTGATTTCTTTCTTTAGTCCAAAATATATTGTAGTTTAACAGTATGTTTGGGTTTCCATTCTCCACCCCTCTAGTTCTTTTAATAACTAAATAGAAAAGTTTTCTCTCTTCTCCTCTAACCTCTCAGCCCAAACACACCATAAGTGAAAAAAAAAAAAAAAAAAGCAAAAGCTTTAAAACATACCATATTAATTTCCTATAAAAACAAACAAATGACAAATCCCATGTGCGGCCAAAGGTAGCTTAATTAGTCTTCTAACATGATGATTAATCTATTACCAAAATACACCCCTTCATTATTATTATTTTCTATTTGAATGATTATGTTGTACTCAAATCAATTTGCATATACTTTAAAATTAATTTTTCTTTAAACAATCTTAAAATTACATCTTATATATGCCAACCTACTATATTTTAAAAAAATTAAATTTTTTTAAGTGCAAGTCTCTGCTCTAACCAAAATGGTTCATGTACTCGCAATAAGCACCAACATTGATGCTCTTTTCTTCTTTTATTGAGAGAGAGAGAGAGAGAGAGAAAGAGGATGGTAGTTGTAATGGATTAATAAAAGATCAACTCATTTGCATGTTTTTCTTTTCCTCACGTTTTGAGCAAACAATAATGGTTTTTAAAGTACAAAAATTGATATTAGCCCAAAAGGAGGCCTGAATAAAAGAAGTACAAGTTGTACATTGGTCCACAACATAGAGGTAGCCCAATAACATTTATGTCTCATGGTGAGTCGTCTAGCTCAGCCCACTCTGATTTTCTATTCGCCACTCAGTCTGGCCGTTACAAATTATTGTCTGTAATCTTAAATATGCGTCAGTCTCTGCATGCAAAGGACTGATTATAACCAAATACATTAACTATCTCTCATCTTACTCATGTTTTTGTTTTCTTTAAGAAATTGTCAAACCTGTGCGTATGTGTAATAAATATTTTTTATAATTATTAATTTATATAAAACATTACAAAAATTAGTATTTATTTTAATATTATTATCATGTAAATAATTTTAATTAATTAATTAATTAATTAATTAATTAATTTAAATCAATATTCATATTTTTATAAAAATTAATTATGAAAATATATAACTAATATGCACTTAATGTATAATCTAATTTAACATGCAACTTAAGAATACAAACTAAAAAAACCATTATGAAAGAAACAAATCACATAAATTAAGCCTACCACTTATCCAATGACACTACAAGAAAATGGACCTCAGTTGTATTAATTTGTTCTAGCATACAGAGCATATAATTGAATTTATTCATGGGAGATGACAATTGTTGTTGCTGATTAATTAGGCTACCTAATTGTAACTTGCTTATTGTAGGTACTGGATTGTGTTTGGCGCTTCTTAATTTTGTCTCCTGTTTTTTTAACCCAAAACGAAGGGTAGGCCATATCCTCTCTATCAATGATTATCTATGATTATATGCAGTATTTCTATTTTAATTTTACGGGACATTTATTTTCTCAATGAGTATTTTAATTTTTTTTTGGGTACAATTCTCAATGAGTATTTGAGGCCTAAGAAAGGATCAGAAAATGCAAGATAGAACAGTAAAATTCTTAAATTAATAAGCCACTGTACCGCAGGTGAAATGAAACAGCTCATCAACACAGGTGAAGTTACCGGTAATCACCATTCGATCAAGAGTACTAAAAAATTGTTTAATTTA